AAAGATTGGCATGACAAAAAGGAATTGGTACCACCCATCTCAACCGCCACTACAAAGCATGTGCGGTCAAACACAGACTTCTTCCAGCTGATTAAACACAATTGCAATTTGACAGTCCAGGCGTTGGTTCTACAACTTCATCCCTATCTCATAGGTGTATTCGGAGGACAATACTCGAACTGAAATGGTGAAATTTGTTGCTGCCACCGAGTTGCTTCTGGCTATTGCAGACAGCCAATACTTCGTTTCGTTCGTGAAAGAATATCTACAATCGAGGTACATTAGGGTAAGTCGAAAAACTCTTCGTGTCGATACAATAAATTATTTAAAAAATTCAAAACAATAATTAATTATGGATTTGCAACAATATGGAGATGTTATATCTTTAACTTCTGATATATGGGAAGAGATTAATAAAATAGCATATATAGCTGCAACCGTACACTATATAGACCCACTTCGATGCATGCATAAGAAAATTATTGCTTTTAGAATTATTGAGTTTCCTCACAATATGAATAATATATGTAATACTATTATCAGTATTGTTAGAGAATATCATTGCGAGACTAAAATTCGGTCTTTTACTTTTGATAATGCTAGTGTTAATAAGATAGTTGTCGATAAATTGTGTAGGACACTTCAACTTGATTTTGGTGGGTATTTGTTTCATATTCGTTGTGTGTGTCATATTTTGAATTTAATTGTGTAAGATGGTTTAAAACATATAAAGGATGAATTTCAAAAGATTAGGAATGCATTAGTATAAATTACGATCTCTCCTAATAGAAAACAAGCTTTGAAGATTTTTGTACTGAACTAGGGGTGATGACTGCTAAAACATTTGTTAGCGACGTAGGCCATAGATGGAACTCTACTTACTTGCTATTAAAGTCATGTGAAAATTTCGAAAATTTAATAACTGACTTTTATAATAATAGATACGTTAGAAGTGATGACGATGGTATGTTAAATGAATCCGATTGAATTTTAGTTTTGAAAGTTAAACAATTTTTGACATCTTTTTATGAGATCACAAAGATTTTATCCGGCGTTTATTATCCCACAAGCTGTATGGTGCTTGAGCGCCTTTATATAATTGTAAGAACATTCCATAAATATAAAAATGATCATACTTTTAGTGAAATTATAATTGTTATGGAATTAAATTTTAGAAAATATTGGGAAGAACTGCCTATATTATTTCCTTTAGCATGCGCAATGGACCCCCGATATAATATTTCGGGAACTAAATATGTTATTGATCAAATCAATAAAGTTTTAATACTTGATACACCTATTACTTGTAAGAATTTAGAGCAAACATTATGTGGAATGTATGATTTATATGCGAAAAGAATGTGTGCGAATATTAGTCGGGTACCTTCTGCACCTACTCCTTCTGCTCAAATTGAAGAAGATGATGTCGAAATAATGAATTTATTTCAAGGTATTAATACATTTAGATATGATGCAACTACAATGTGTTCATCTAGTATCATGTCGTCTATATTTGCATCTCATCAAATATCGGTCGAAACTCAAAATGCGATGCCTGCCGAAATAATTGATTATTTCAATTATAATATGCCAACAGACAGAGCAATTAAAAAAAGTTCAGAAGAAGTAATTAAATTCTGGAGAAAGTATGAAAAACGTTGACCAATTGTTTCTGCAATTGCGAAAGATCTGCTGACACCTCCGGTCAGCACTGTTGCTTCGGAGTCTACTTTTAGTGCAGGTGAAAGGGTTTTGACCGATATCAGAAGCCGACTGAAAGAAGATGTTTTGGAAGCATTAATGTGCGTGAAGAATTTTTACATGACGCTCATTTTCGACTACAAGATAAATACGCTGAAATTGTATGTCGTCAGGTAAGTGATATTTGATTTAATTATATGAATCAAAATTTTTTTATTTTTTAATCGTTAAATTTAATTTTCTTTAAAAAATTGTACACGTTAAAACAAGTTATTCGTGTACAATTTTTAACTCCGCCTATTTAAAATTAATGTAACTGGTCCTAAGCCCGGATAAAAGGTGAGTATTTACATTTTATCTATTTTAAAAAGAAATGAAAAAAATATATTTTTTGTAAATGTATTTCAAAAAATAATTCGTCTTCATTATATAAGTATTTTATACTTTATAAAAAGTATTACAATATGATATAAATTAAAAAAAAAATTATTTTTGTTAAATTATTTGTATTTTTTAACACTTTTTAATTTTTTTAAAAGTGTTAAAAATTATTTCATTTATTTGTAAAACTCTTTAAAAAAAATAAAATAAATTTGGACGAGCCCACGAGCCAAGCTCGTGAGATTAAGGGCCGAGCCGAGTATGCCACCACTATGTTAATATGATATGCTGCAACTATGTTAAGCTATAAATACGGATTGATACAAATACGGTAAGCTGTAAATACGGTATGCGTAAATACGGTTGGCACCGTTTGTAGCCTACTTACAGTATTTACAGTTTACCGTATATGCTGCCTAACATATTTGTAGCTTACCATATATATGCTACATATCATATTTGCAACTTATCGTATATATCGATTTTTGTACTTACAAATATCGAGAATGTAGACCACCGTACGTTCACTCACCAAACTGAATGTCAGAAAAAATTCCAGATGTTTATCTTTTCGATATAAGTATAAAATAAATATTAAAATATATGAAGCACAAAATATAAACGTATATGAATATGCAAGTCGATTTATAACTTTGTGCTCAATCTTCAATTTTTCAATATTGAATTAGAAATATAATTTTCACATTTAACTCAATTATATCAACATTATCAAAGAATACAAGCAAAATAGTTTGTATATTCCTTACTCAAGCATGAAATATACAAGCATATTTTTTTCTAGAAAACACAATACCGATACAATTGTAAAAATAATTTGCAATTATTTTCTTATATCATAAAAATATTTCTAGATATTGTTTCAAAAACTTTTCAAAAACTAAAATTCATACGATAATAAAAATACGATAAATACAAAATTCGTACAACGCACGTGATAGTGACTAGTAAGAGAATAAGTATCACCCATTTCAAAACTAAGTCCTTGTTTGGGCCACGTTATTAGAATGAAAATATATTTTTGAATAGTGTATTGATGGAAAATGTGTGGTTAAGAAAGAAAGAAAATTTTTAGATTTGCGTGTAATATTATTTTATTAAGAAATATGTGATTGAGATGATATTAAGTCATTACTGAAAATTGTATTTTTTTTTTTGAAAAAATATGGCTCAAACATAGCCAAAGAGCAAATGTTTCAAATCTTAAAAATCAGATATCTATTAAATTTTATTTATGATTTAATTGATTATATAATTTAGTCATTAATATATTAAGGTCACAGATGTATACAATTTTATTACAAAGTAACGATTTAATTAGTCAAAATTTTAACGTGTTACAAATTATTTTTCAATAACAATTCAAAAATTTTATAGGTGACAATTTATTCATCGATCACAAATCAGAAAAATACAAATCATATTTTATTTATCAATCACAAATTACAAATATTATAAGTCACAACTTATTATACAGTAATAAATTATCGATCACAAATTAATAATTTTTTAGGTCACACATTCTTCTGGTCACAATTTATCTTTTTTCATTGATCAGATATTGTTTATGAGCCTCAGATTAACCAATTTAATGGTCATAATCAACAAAATAAATTTTAACAGTTGCTAACGCTTGCGACCAACTTTTCATCACTGCCTCCAATAGCATCACCACCACCATCTTCGCCAGAACCACCGCCACCACCTCTGATAGCAGCAACACCGCCATAACCACCATCATCGGACCTCACAAAATCACCATCACATACAATAGCAACGCAAAACCGCCACCACCATCGTCTTCACTAGATGCACTGCCTCCACCTCCGATCGCAACACCACTACCATGGCCACCATCACTAGACAATACAAAATCACCACCACACACCAGAGCAATGCAAAACCATCACAAAACATCGCTAGCACCACCACAAACCCACCTCAAAAACTACTACAAAAGTCACCACAAACCACTAGAAAACAATACAAATCACCTGGTTTGCCATTGCAGTGGTTCTCAGTTCACCGTTGTTGTAGTGCACGAACTGAGCATCACAGCAAAGATCAGGGGCGCTTGGAGTGCCATGACTCAACTTAGCGATGATCCATACTTGTCGGACTTAACCACACTGCCACAACCTTCACAAGTCTACCACACCACAACCACAAGGGTGGTGCGGTGATGCTGCATCAGTAGCAGACCAACCACCAAACTTTTACAAATCCACCACACAACAACCATAAATTCACTATGCTGCCACGCCTCCACAAGTCCACCACACCACACAATCACCAGGGTAGTGTGACGATGCTGTGAACACAAAAAATGTCCCCAAAAGCGAACTATGCTCTCTGTGCAGATGACTCCAAGAAGAAGAAGCGAAGGGACGAGCAACAAAAGCACCCTATGATGACGACTCAATGCCGTCATAGGGTGGTCCTGTCGTCGGAGAAAGGATGGAGAAGGAACAGGGATGGAGAGAAGGGGAGAGTGATAGTTTGGGGGGGGGGAGAGAGAGAGAGATAATTTTAGATTTAGGTGAGAGTTTTGCTACGTGGCGTGGGTTGTGGATTTTTTTTTTTTTAATTTTGTAACTTTATTATTAATATTAAAAAAATATGTTATTATCTAATTTCTGAATTAAAAAACTTGAAATCTTAACTTTGAATTAGGGATCTGAAAACAAGGGAAAGCTATAATTTCCACTTTATGAAATATAATCTTTAGAATTAGGAATTATGTATTGATCGGTCCCACACTAGGAGGCAGGAGCATGGGTGAAATTGTCATTTGGATTGGGCCGTTGGGCCCATTGCACCAAATTTTCGCTCTTTTTATCCAGTAAAACTTGAAACGACAAAATTACCCTCGAAGGAATATATAGACAAGCTGTCAACACTCGTTGAAAATTGCACAACCCTAGTCTCTCTCAGTCCCACTGCTTGCATCCCGCCTCCTCACTCGGCTGAACTCGTTCCCGTCGCTGTTACGCCGCCGTTTCGTAAATTTGTTCATATCAATTGCATCCTCATCCGCTGTTAATTTCACCCCTCTTGAACATCCGTTATCGAAATTCCAATTTTTCGCTCAGTGGAGCTGAGTTTAATTGAATAATTCTGCACGAATAAGGAAGTGAAAAATCCTCGTTTTCGTATAAAATGGGGATTGGTGAAAATGAGTGTAGTGGTGGTGATCTGCAGAATATTCAGAATGAGGTAATAAGTGGTGGACCTCCCAAGTCACCCTGGAAGCCTTCCACAGGAATGGCCAATGGTGCTACTTCTCCGGCGATGGAGCCTGATTCGGAGTCTTGGCCTGCACTGTCCGATGCGCAGCAGCGGTTTAAGAACAATGTTAATGCCGATTCCAACTCTTCCAAGTTGTTGTTGCCGCAGCCCCAGCAAGAAGTCAACAGTGGCGGTGCTCCTCCACCTCTCATGCCGGTCTGTGCTATTGGTGTTTTTTTGTTTTTTGTTTTTTTTTTTCATTTTAGGTATATGCTTATAATAGTGAATGCTGTTACTACCTGCTTATGGTTTGCGTTAAAAGATTTGAATATATTATGTTAATTGTATTTTATTGAGCAGGAAGTTATTGATCTAAATATGGAATTTGAAACAAGGGATGTTTCAGAATAATTCCTTTCATAAATGATCTGATGCTAGCGAAGGTTGAACAGATGTCAATATCTTAACGAGAGACATATAAATTGAATCTAATTGTATGGTGTAGAACTTCTGCTTTAACAATTTATGTTCCTTTTTATTTGAAGGACGGATTAAATCATCTTGTCATTAGGTTTCACTGTAATTACATATTTAAATAATGACGTTAAGATCATAAGGATCAGTTTTGGTGCATCCTTTAAAAAAAATGACTTCAAAACATGTCCTTTCTTTAATGTGTATTTTGAATTCTATGAAAAGCATATTCAAAAAAGGGGAAAAATATAAAAAATCAGACGCATTTTCAAGATTTAGTACTTAAATTTTTCAAAAATGTTTTCGAAAATGAGGCATAGAATAGAGTCCTAGGTTTCCTGACATTGTGAATCCTTATAGTCAGAAGACAGACATGGAATGAAAATACTTCCAAACAGGCTGCAATTGATTAAAAAATGACAGTGTGAAGTAGAATTAGAGATGCTGATATTCAAATCGATCTGTGGCCAAAAAAAAAAAAAAAAAAAAAAAAAAAAGAATGAAAATACTTCCAAACAGGCTGCAATTGATTAAAAAATGACAGTGTGAAGTAGAATTAGAGATGCTGATATTCAAATCGATCTGTGGCCAAAAAAAAAAAAAAAAAAGAAGCTAACTGAGAAATTGTATCCTTATCAGTTATCACGGTACAGCAAAACCGTGGAGCATAATTACTGGTTTTATTATACATTTTTGGTTACCAAATAAAATTTATTTCTTGATTCCACATGGTAGACATATTATGATGAGCCAGTGGTTTGCCTCAGACGGATTCCTCCTTGAACTGGGAATGCTTGCTTAACCCAATTATCCCATACTATTAGGTGAGGCCAAACGAGCCTCTTTCATATGAGAGGCAACCCTTGTTGATTACTCCAAATTTACTGCCCCTAAGCATGTGTGGTTATTGTATGTACATGGTCTGTTTGATGATCAGCAATTCGGCATCTTACCTGAGATTTTTTTTTCTGGTCTCCCAGGCTAAAGTTGAGCAGCAGAAGTTGCACGGACGTGGTAATTTTAACTCACCTCGTAAGCCTTCCAATATGCATCATCACAGAACAGGTCCCAAGCACTGTCCCAATGTTGTGCCTCCATTTCCTGTACCATCACCCTATCATCAACCAGCTATTACACCAGTTTTTCCTACTATGGTTCCAATGCCACACATTTCTGGTCCTGGATATGGATATCATTTTCACCCTGGACCTTTTCCAATACCTGATACTCAATTGGTAAAATCCAATAGCAACACTCAAGTACAATGCTTTGCTCCACCAGTAAATGGGGGCTTTAAGCCGTCATCACGCTCTGATTCCAAGGACCATGATGCCAAGTCTGGTGGAAGAAGACCCAGTGCACAGGAGCAAGGTGGCTGGTTGAATCCTTCATGGCCTAATCAGCGACCAGTTGTTTATAGTAACAACTTTCATTCACAACAATCCTTGGGACGTAGGCCTTTGTTAAAGCCTCCATTTGTTGATCAAGCAGGCTTCATTGATGGACCATACTTCCCAGGTAATTATATATCTCAATATGAAGCCATCTTCATAAATGATATCAAATATTTTTTGTATTAAGATTCTACTCTCCGTGATTCCCTCTCCATCTGCTTTCCCTTTCCCTTTCTTTTTCCCTCCTGTTCCTCTTCAAGCAGTTGCTTAATTACATTGTCTGATAAGGTTGTCAATGATACAGGTCCTCCCGGAGCTCTATGTTATGTTCCTGCTGCTCCTCAAGGTTCTGTTAGAGTACCTTACTCACCATTTGTTGTTCAATATCCTTTCAACCCTGGAGTTCTCATGCCACCCTCACCAGTGATAAACTTGAAAGCTGACATAATAAAGCAAATTGAATATTATTTCAGGTGAATTGCTTGAGAAAGATCTCCCTACTAGCAAATCTTTGCCTTTATTTTTTTGGTGAAAATTGATATCGGGCATATTTTCCCCTGAAAAAGGTTCATCCTAGAATTGTGGCGTCAACATTGAATTATTTTGTTAATCTATTTATTGGATGAACTTTTTTGTTTATGATTTATCTCTTGGAGTCTATTCAAATTATTTTCACATAAATGGGATGTTATTTGGTAATAATGATAATTTAAAATGATGGGTCGTACTTATGTCTCTTGGATGTAGTGATGTTTTCCTGCGACTATTGATTGGTAATAAATGAAATTAATAAAGCTGTATTATGTTTAAATAATAGGTAAATATTTGAGTTTTGAATTTCATTACTTTGGCAGTGATGAGAATCTTCAGAATGATCACTACTTAATTTCCTTGATGGATGACCAAGGTTGGGTTCCGGTTTCAATTATTGCTGACTTCAAAAGGGTATGTATTGATGGAAACTCTTTATTATTTAACAAATGCTATATAAAGAAGTTCATTATCATTAATTTGGAAATCATATCGTGCATTTGTGAATCAACTGAGCTGTTCCATTTATTGTGCTTGAGGGTTGGGGGG